TTTAAAAGAAAAACACACAAGCGGAAAGAAACCACAAGTTCCGCCCGATTACGCTTGTGGTTTTTTTCGCAAGCCTTCGAGGGCATACACTGAGCATACAGTGTTAAATATACACGTCGGGCAGGGCAAAAATTAAAACTCAACTGTTCTAACGTGTTTTCGTCATATTGTTTCGTTTATGTTGTTCTTTTTTGTGAGTACAACGAAACGATCGTCTGTTTTTGTTGTCTTTCTCCTTGTGCATGTGAATATAGAAAAACACGTTTCTTTTGCGGATTCCATAGCTCGTTTGCACCGCCCATGCAATCAAAAGGCGTCTTACGCAATTTTTGAGCTAATTCGGGAAGATCTGGGAAATTGTAGGATTTAGATTAGGGAGTTTACATTTAAAAAGTGAGAAATTGGATTGATCTTCCAAAAAGTTGATTTTTATCGGGTGATCATTGGACTAATGGGCTTCGAAATGGTTCATTGTTATCTGCCTCGCAACTATTAATTCAGAACAATGTCACATGATATTATTCAATTGTCATTGTCATTCATTACCGCCCCTCTCACCGCTTGGAAAATTCTGCGTCAAATGCAAAATTTTCATTCACTTTCATCATTTTCAATCTCAAACCAACTTTACAATCTTTTTTCCAAAAATTAACTTACTGGTGATAAACGCACTTCCCTATTCTATTTTTTATTATACCTGAGCCACACTAAATGTCCTCCTTCTTAAAATGTGACACCCCTTCTTAAGATGTGAAGTACAACAAGAGTATTTTGATTATGACTTCAAATATTGCCCCTCGTCGGGGACAAATAGAACAAGGATGGAAATAAACTACATATGTGAGTTTAATAAGTGATGTTCATTGGATTTTTATTATATCTCTCGTAATACTTCTTTTCCACTTGTTATTTCTATATTTTCTTTTCTCTGTTTTCTGGAATAAAGGTTGACTCGAAAAGTGAAAAAGTTTTTTTTCTTTAGACTTTTCATTTTCATGACGTAGCGAAAAGCGTTAATCAATCACTCACCGCGGGTGGTACTAGAGTCTTTGGTGGTCAGATCCAAAGTGCTTGTGGGCTCTGGAGTTCTAGTTGAGTCCATGGTGGTGGTGGGTTCTAGAGTGGTTTTCTCCTGTGTGGTAGTTGGTTCTGAACGATACGTTATCCTCTATGAGGCTACCAAACTGTAACTTATGTATCTAAACTTCTTTGACAGGTGAGACAGTAAACTGCATACGAATAGCTACAAGCCATTGTTCGTGAATTTTCAAAATAGAAATGAAACGCTAATCGTGGATCCAAAACGATTTCTGAACTAAAAGAAAAACAAGCAAGCTTGCAATTACGTGAAAATACAATCTTGACTCCCAATAATTATCAGTTTTTTGTACCTTCAACCAGACCCCCTCCCCTGTCCCCGTGGCGTACACAGTGGCCCCAACTCATAATAATTATCTTATTATGAGTTCGAATGCCAGGTTTTTGTATTCAACGGAGTCCATTACCGACCCTATCAACGTGTGGAAAACTCTGCGTCAAATGCAAATTTTTATTCACTTTCGTTGTTTTCAATCTCAAAACAACTTTACAGTTTTCTCTCCAAAATTCAGTTACCAGTATACTGTTTTTTATCTAACTGGTAATAAAGGCACTTGGCTATTCTGATTTTGATTATACCTAAGCCACATCAAATGTCTTCCTTCTTAAAATGTGAGACCCCTTCTTAAGATGAGAGGTACAACAGCAGTATTTTGATCATGACTTCAAATATTGCCCCTTGTTGGGCAATAAGAACACGGATGGAAAAAACTATATATGTGAGTTTAATAAGTGTTGTCTATTGGATTTTTATTATATCTCTTGTAATATTTCTTTTCTACTTTTTATTTGTGTATTTTCTTTTCTCTGTTTTCTGGAATAAAGGTTGACTCGAAAAGTGAAAACTTTTTTTTAGACTTTTCATTTTCATGACGCAGCGAAAAGCGTTAATTAATCACTCACCGCGGGTGGTACTAGAGTCTTTGGTGGTCAGCTCCAAAGTGCTTGTGGGCTCTGAAGTTATAGTTGAGTCCATGGTGGTGGTGGGTTCTAGAGTGGTTTTTTCCGGTGTGGTAGTTGGTTCTGGAGTGGTAGTTGACTCTGAAAAATATAAACTTAAGGGTATGAACTTTCCCTATGGTGGCTTTGGCTGTGGCACTGAACTTTAATAATCTCTGCCAAATCTTGTAAAGCAATAATGCACAGTGTTAATTCAATCAATTAGGACATGTAACAAGATTTTAAAACGATACTTTATCCTCTATGAGGCTACCAAACTGTAACTTATGTATCTAAACTTCTTTGACAGGTGAGACAGTAAACTGCATGCGAATAGCTACAAACCATTGTTAGTGAATTTTCAAAATTGAAATGAAACGCTAATCGTGGATCTAAAACGATTTCTGAACTTTAAAAGAAAACAAACCTACAAAGAAAAAAAACGAAGCGAGCTTGGACTGACATGAAGATACAATCTTGACCCCTAATACTAATCAGTTTATGGCCACTTCAACCAGATAAGGGCCGTCCATGAAGTACGAACGCACTTTTTAGACCCCCTCCCCTGTATGCATGGCGTGCACAGTGGCCCCAACCGCCTTCCCCTGTACGTATATCTGGAAGATGCTGCCGCCCTTTGTGTCATAAGTAATATTGGAGTTGGCACGGGAGGATATGGTGGGGTGGTAAATATTGTGTTTGAATTTCGACGCGCAAAAGCTGATTCTGGTATTATTTGTATGAGGCATACAAGGCCAGTGCACGGCCGGAAAAATTAGCAGCGTCTCCGGTGCACTCCGGTACATTAACTGGTTGCATCAGTCACAAATTAAAGTGTAGATGTAATGGATTTCTCTTAGACAAAATGTTTCTTCAACTTTGCATTTTTCTTCAGTGTATGAAATCTCTTTGACTTTCCTATTTGGTTAAATGCATTTAAAAGTTTATGTTTTTAAACAGTTAAAATTATAGATGCTTTCTCGGACAGCTGAGGGCGGTGTTGCTGTAATGTAGGGAAGACATGGTTAGTGCATAAGTAATAGCCCTGAACTTTTTAAACTGAAAACGTTTCTGTGAGAGGGACTGATGTTTTCTTATAACCATGCACATAAATAGCAATGAATTAGTATTAAAAAACGAAAACTAAGTCCCGGAAAATCTACAAAAATGCAGGATTTTTTTGCAAACCATGGTAGCATTGTGGCTTCTTCCTGAGATGACATCACAGTTTTACTCATGAATATGGAAATATTCATCAACATAAAAACCAAAGTGGCCGTAAAATACTCTTTGAAAAAGTGAAACAAAAGATGAAAATAACTGAAACACAATTGCATTTTGAAGCTCTGCATTCAAACAAATTAATTGCAGCTAACCTTTGAGCAGCTGCTCAGAAACAGTTTACCTTTGAGCAGCTGCTCAGACACACAGTTTACCATTGAGCAGCTGCTTAGAAACAATTTTCCTGAAAAAGAGGCTATGCCCTTACAAAACAATTAGGTTCCATTTAAGACATTTGATATCGTCACTCTGATTGATTTTTTAAAAACCTCATCCTTTTTTGGGAGGGGGCGTGGCCCCCGTTGTCCAAACCCCGCACTTGGGACAGTTTTGAAGGAGTTGGATTTCTCATAATCAACAGTCGACAAAGATTCAATGGGCCGAGCTGTTGTTCTGTAGAATCGCAATGCCGAGATAGCTCCACGGTTGAATACACCATGGAGGTACCCGAAACTGTTAAGGAATGGGCAAGCCAAGCAGAGTGACAGGCCAGGCATGATTCGTTTCCGTCTTTATATCAAATCGCCAAATTATGTCGGTCTGGTTACAATCCTTCACGATCACAAGGTGGGATACATGATGCTAACTAACAAACAAAATGATGCTTCATGTTTGCATGCATGTATGTTATAATGAGATCTTTTCTCTTTTCTTTCCAGTGAACTGCACGGTTATTATATACATTTACAAGAAAGACATATACGGGTTATAATCGGTTGTTTCCTATATTGAATCCACTTTAAGGAAATCTGATTTTCTCTATAAATTTACAATAAAGTTCAAAAATTAATTAATAACAAAAATGCAATGCCAAGGGTCCTGATATGCTTACAAACGCAAGGGTTTGATGAAGTTAATATCGACAATGGATCATTACGAACGCTATTTTAACACTTTCAGAGCCAAATTTCTACATGTATGATCTATGCGAAGTGCCCCCAAAGATCCAAACATCATGCATGAACAATCTTGGGTTTCTTGATTTCTCCTGTAAAATGAGATCGTACCATGATCATAAATGTACGATATGGCAGACTCTACTAAACATGGTAAACGTGCCCGGGTTTGTTTGTATTGTGTTCATTCGGACAGCGAAAGGGGTTGTTTTTTGGGTTCAAATGATAAACCATCAGACCAAGATTATATTTCAACCAGTTAGTTCTGGTTCTAAAGAGTATCACATAACTTGCTGAGTAAAACGTGTTAATTTTCCCAGATTTTCACAGAATTTCAAAAAACCCAAACGCTGGACACTTTGGGGTAACATCCATGGAAATTCATGGTACTGAGAGTAATAATGAAATTTCTGAGTGACTTTTTTTTCTTCAGTTGACACTTAAGCTGGGTGCCTTGATGCCTACTTAGGAACAGTGGAGAGGTCTTTCGAACTCGCAGTGCAGTTCCAAGACAAGGCCGCCTATAAATTTTAGTGGAGAAATCGGCAATCGCTGAATTCAGCGACCGCTCTATTCAGCAACCGCTCTTTGATGTAAACAATGTTAGCAGAAATGTTAGCAGTCAATACAAAAAATTGAACTTAAATATTTTTGAAAACAAAACTGAANTATCTCTCTCACCGATTACATCAAATGTAAAGTTTGCTGAGGAGAAACAACCCCAACCGTTGGTCACAGAGCACGTCACAGTGTGAGATCCCACTGGGAAGTAACCCCCTGTAACGGTCACGTTGGTCCCCGTATCACTTGTGCAGTTTATTGGGTTACCATCTGCGTTCGTGGCATTTACTTTATCCCAGGTGACTAGAATCGATGCTTTGCCACAAACGATCCATTGAACTTCAACTTCGGGCACGGAAATGATGGGAATTGCTGTGAAATACAAAACCTTCATCTGTCAGTCAATGAAATAATTAGATAGTATTAATAATAGTACAATCCACATTAGTGTTTAAATTGAGAAAGAGTGACTGAATGGCGTCGTGTACTCATGATTGCCTCTGACAGTTAAAATAAACCGCAACAATTACTTATCAATACGACATTTCCCTTGAAGTGATTTCGAACTTGAGAAAGATTACAACTTTTACCGATGATGTAAAAGGAGAAGTTTGCAGACACAATTTTGCCATCAGGTAGAACGATCCTGCAGGTTACCACGTAGCACCCCACTCCAAATACACCTCCAGTCAGTGATACATTGGTTCCTCCTACAGACTCTGTGCAAGTGATGTTTTCAGGAGCAGTGTCTATTGCGGTTACTTCATCCCAAGTCACGTTAACTGGTCCTTCTGCTTCGTCGATGCACCGATCTTCGATAACAGGCACCCTGATCTTTGGCATTTCTGTGTTACAAAAAAAATAATGTCAAAGATTTAACTTTGCTTTCACCCAATCACTTCTAACAAAAGGTGACGGACGTCAGCATCAAAGAAAGAACAAAGTGCTATTGATTTGCAGAACAGAAGTTGGAGGGCAAGTATTCACTGTGTCCGTAGTTGGCCGACATTGTGTAAAACCCACACTGCTGCAGCGACGGTGATGGGTGAGTAGTGGATTAAAACGATATAGCAAGATGTAGTAAAACACACTTCCGGGAACTGACTGAATAGTGGCGGGCCTATGTAGCTGCTGCACTGGTTTTGGTGACCCTTTCCTTTGTACAGGGAGATGATGATACCGTCCATCCATTTTTCGGGGAATCTACTCGAGGACCATACTTTGAGGAAGAGATCATGGAGGGCCACACTGATTTGGGGCCTCTGCGCATTTCAGGGGTTCAGGAAGAATGTCATCCGGTCTTGCAGCAAGTCGTGTTCTTGAGTTTTCTGCGCGTTCCATGGCCATGGTGGGAACGCACGAGATTACGGTTGCAGCTGTTCCTTGTGTATTGATTTAAGGGCAGGGCATAGTACTTGTATGGTTATTTATAAATGAGGTTGCAGTGCTGTTTCCAGTGGGCCAGCATCACCTCGACCATCTTTCTTGAAATGCCGTCAGCCTGAGTTGATTCAAAGTATAATTCAAAGTCTAAATCCTGACGCGTACTACACCTTTCTAACAATTTTTGAAAGACAAGAAATAGAATGCGCCGCAGTGTCCCCCTCTCACCCGAACACATTTTGCTTATTTAATTACTTTTGAAGAGATTCGTTATAAAACTGCTTCAACATCAGTCACTTTGCAGAAATAAGTTAGTTTGAACATCTAAAAATCTTGACAGCCATGTACACAACTTACACCGAAGTCTTAAGTGAAACGAAGCCTGTCAGTCGCAAAGGACGCATTTTCTTCAAACATTAATTGGACAAGAAAAAGAAATTCTGAAATTTTAACCGGTGAGCTGCAAAAGCGACGCTGGAGTTATTATTAGGAGAAACAAAAGTCTGCTGAAGTGCGCCTCAACCCCCCGTCGGTGACCCATTTTGCTCACCTGGGTCCACTGGCGATCGCCTTCGCCCGAATTTCGTTTAGAAATCCCTTGTTAAAATCACACCAAGGCGAGCATTTCAGACTTCTTCGAGATGACGCTGAATAACGGTCTGGCGAACTTTAACTGAGGCGGCCTGAGTTTTGTTCTGTACCCACGCCGAGATTTTTGGATTGACAGCTAGGAATGTGACATTCATGCCCAAAGCACGTGATGTCGAGTCTTGAGTTGTATTCAGTTCCCCATATACAAATATATGTATAACCATCTCATGTAACTTAAACATACACTGTTTTGCATAGAGCAAACAGTTAAATGATCCTTCTGTAAGTGACCAGAAACGTCTCTTCGGGAATTGATTGTCCCTGGGCAATTTACTGTTATTGGACGTGGTTTTTTTTCGATTTTATTTGAAAAAAACGCCCAAACTTTTTCTCTCGGTTGCCAAAAGTAAGCAACACTTCAGAGGGCTTTGTAGGTATGTCGGTGAAGGAAATAGTTATTGATCGAATATTGTCACTTATAAATAAATCGCAAATCAACTGTTTTGATTTTAATGGCTTAAACGGCGCGCCATTTCAGATGATCAGATGCCCGTTTTTGTGCCTAGTTTCACCCTTTTGACGTAAACCTTAAATTTAAAGACATTTAGCATCAACATTTCCTCTTGCTACATACATGTAAAACTACGGAGCTCTGGAAGTGCCATCCGACTTGTCGAGATCCTGACATTTTTTATCTCAGGATGATGACATTTTACGGGCAATATGGCGAGACCATGACATGTTTTATTGTATGATGAAGACATCATGTAATGGAAATGACAACATCCCGCTATTATTTATCATAAAAGTTGGATGACGACGTAATAAGTTAATTTATCATTGGATGACGACATCGTGAAAGTGATATGACATCATTTCTCAATGGCCACCTTGACAAACCACCTCGAAAACAGGTGGCCTGAGATGGTAGAGATTTCAAATCATTGCCCTGTTGCCATACATAATATTATTTAGATGATGTCTCACCGCCTGCTACAATTTGTTAAGAAGATATAACACTTGGTGGATGTCTCTGGATGGTGACACCCTGAGCCAATGAGTATCGTCACTATCTGAGGATGTTATCATCCAACTTTTACGATGTCGTCACCCATGTCACATCTCAGCCCATTTTATTGTTTAAAATCACAACTTTGAATTTTCTTTCAAGTAGAGTTTTATTGAGTTTCCCATATTTGGCTGCAACAAGAGAAGTTGCTTGATTTAAATATTCATTTCAGTGTGTGATGTCATTGATTTACATTTAACACAAGGTGCTTGGGGCTCTAGATTGTGGACTTTCCATTTAAATGGTAAGTACAAGCAGTTGGGATGTTTCAGTAGGGTGTGGTCTGTTCATTGGGTGCACTGGAGTGTGGGGGAGTGTGGTGTATATAGAGTGAAAGTGTGCTACCCATGGTCAGTCAGTTGTCTTGCTGTAAAGCATTCTAACACCAGTGTTTAGGCTCTCTCCAATCCAGCAAGAGTAATTTCAGCTCAGGGCCTTGTGCTCTTTTGGGGTTGCCATACTTTGTGAGCTTATACATCTTTTCCCCATTCTGAGCGGACCGTCAAATGACCCTGGAACTGGTGACTGACTGCAGACAACCGTGAAGCCACAAACTAGAGCCCTACCTTATGGCAGTTTTACTACCTTGGGTCCGGCCAAGATGCTCTCCACTGTTCTGTGCTGTGTCTAGTGAGGGCGCGACTAGCTGTTTGGCGGAGCGCTTCGACTGCCGTAGACGTCCGAGGCCAATGCGGACCAAGATAAACTGTTATTTCACACTGTATTAAAGGCTTGGTTTTATAATTTACTTTGTGTACGACACTCCAGCCTGTGTGGCACTATTTAGCCTGTGTGGCACTATTTAGCCTGAGTGGCACTATTTAGCCTGTATGGCTCTTTTAACCCTGTGTGGCACTATAGCCGGTGTGGCATAATTTATCCTTAGTATCGGGTGAATATTTTCTCTTGAACTTGGAAGTAGCCTTGGTGGCTTTCGTAGTAAATCTTGCTTCATTTATCGGTAATTACATGTGGTGTAGTGGTGGAATATTTTGCTGTTGAAGCTGACTTGATTTACCCTCCTGTAGTTCTATTTTCTTGTGATTGTACCTTCAAAGCATAGTGTTTGGTATTTTGGCGTCTAATGTAGTTCTTTTAATCAAACTTCAAAGCAATTCTTTGACGTCAGTTTTTATGAATATCTTCATTTTTTGAGGAATTGTACAAAACTATGAGTGAGTGAACCTCGGGACTGTAAATAGGTAATATTTTTTTTTACTAAGATAAATTTGTGTGTTTGGATTTGCACTGATTTAGTTCTCACAATTCAATGATAAATTATCTCAGGATGTCGTCATCCAACTTTTACGATGTCGTTATTCCTTAATAAATTATCTCAGGATGTCGACATCTTGCCTTTATTATGTCGTCATCCCGAGAAAAACATGTCAGGATCTCGACAAGTCGGATGGCACTTCCAGAGCTCCGTATAAAACAGATAAATGCGTGTGAAATTTTTTATTTTCTGTCACCCTCCATGCATCAATTTTGAATGTAACTTGTTTTAATCCAGACCAAGTATTCAAGAACATTCAGAGTGTCAGGCTTGGTTAAGACCAACGTTTGGCCATGTTATGGACGGGCAATTGCGAGAGCACATCCCTGTTGTTTTTGTGAAAACCCTTGTTTTCGTGTTAGGGACATAGTATGGTTTACTTAAAGGGTCTATGATAATGTG